TATATCATCTTCATATAATCTTTTCCCACTTTTTATATCATCTTCATATGATCTTTTTCCACTTTTTATATCATCTTCATATCATCTTTTTCCACTTTTTATATCATCTTCATATGATCTTTTTTCACTTTTTATATCATCTTCATATGATCTTTTTCCACTTTTTATATCATCTTCATATCATCTTTTTTCACTTTTTATATCATCTTCATATCATCTTTTTCCACTTTTTATATAATCTTTTTCCACTTTTTATATCATCTTCATATAATCTTTTTCCACTTTTTATATCATCTTCATATAATCTTTTCCCACTTTTTATATCATCTTCATATGATCTTTTTTCACTTTTTATATCATCTTCATATCATCTTTTTCCACTTTTTATATCATCTTCATACAATCTTTTTCCACTTTTTATATCATCTTTTTCCACTTTTTATATCATCTTCATATAATCTTTTCCCACTTTTTATATCATCTTTATATGATCTTTTTTCACTTTTTATATCATCTTCATATCATCTTTTTCCACTTTTTATATCATCTTCATACAATTTTTTTCCACTTTTTATATCATCTTTTTCAACTTTTTATATCATCCTCATATGATCTTTTTCCACTTTTTATATCATCTTCATTGCACATCGGACATGACCATAAGTGCTCTGATGTCCTTCTGAGTGTGTCTCCAAGTGTTTTGAAGCTAACAACTCCCATTCTGTTCTCGTTGATTGATGGGTGACTCCCGCATGGTTTTCCTGTCTCGTCGCTACAGTCGGTACACCCAGGGTATGCAATACAGTGAAAAATCACTGTCCACAAAACTGAAAGCCTCACAGTGTTTCATCTCTCGTATGGCAGTGATGTCTCTCCTGTGCTGGACACATTTGTAGACAACAATTTTATACTGTGCTACAGAGAGGTATGGGAATCAGAACCCATGGTGATGGTGAGTGTCAGCGGCAAGACCTGCTTGTGTGAACAACAGTTTTAAGGCCAGGGATGAAGTATCTCCTCTCTGCCTGGGCAGTATTACAGAGACCATGTGTTGTCTATGCATAATCTCCCGGCCTGCTCTGTTTACCCCAAAGCAAAGATAACGCCGGTACATTTGGGAAAAAGTATGCTGCAGAAGCTGCTGGATCATCATAGCCATGGTCGAGGTTTCAGCTTCATTGTGAACGGGTCCATACTTGCACCGTTCATATGCCATTGAAATCAAATCAAATGCCCCTCACATTCTCATTTGAAAAACTGGTGAACATACAACAGTCCCGGCACAATCCAGAAATATACGCATACGGCAGTGGCTAGAGGTGCCAAAGCCAACAGAAATACAGTCTGTCGTTGACAGAAGTACTCGGTCCCAATAAGATAGCTATACACATGAAAAACTTATCACATAAGGAATTTCACCAGCTTACATATAAAAGATGTTGGCGTTGGATAGGGCACGCACTGAGAAAACAGGAGAACAGCATAACTAGAATGTCTTTGCACTGGAACCCACAGGGGCATAGGAATAAAGGAAGGCCAAACAACACATGGAGAAGAGAGCTGGAGAATGAGGTTAGAAAGATTGGGAGGACATGGGGAAAGCTCCATGCAATGGCGAAGGATAGAACGACTTGGCCTGAGTTGGTTGAGGGCCTATGCTCCATTGGGGATAGAAAGGCAGAAAAAGAAGACATATAAACCTAAACCAACTACCGTCCATTTTGAATATCATGACACATCCGCTGCACTAATGAAAGGCATTTTTCATATTAAAAAAAAAAAATGCAGCTCACAGGGCTACACCAAGCACTAAACTCAGCAGCTCAGGCAACAAAACCGTATGCTGGATCTAAAGAATAGCACTCTGCCTGGTAAACAAATATACTTGGAAACAAAGAGAAGATAAAAGTTAGTAGATCACGCAATGTATGAAATATGTGATGCCAGCACTGATTCATGGCTGCTGTCATAGACTACTCACCCTGGCTGGACAAACACATGTCAGATCTGGTCAGCGCTCCTTTCCTGCCTTTAGCTGGGCCTCCAACAAATTCTCTCTTAAATCTTGGATTGACCAGTGGCAAGCAAACAAAATCATATCTGAATGAAAGAAATGATAATATTATTACTTGTAGTTAGAAAAAGGTATTATTATGAATAGCCAGTCAGTCAACAGATTATCCTCACTGCACATGGAATCATTGCGCCCATTAGTGTTTGGATCCCCTCTGAAGTAAACCCTGTGGAATGTACTGGCTGACAACATCAGTTCTGTGTTAGATTCTTATTCTTTTTTTTTGCATCTTATTCATCTTTGCACAGTGTGAGTGTCCTTGTTAACTTTCTGTTCTGCAGTCTGGTCATGGTTGAAGATTCTCAAAGTCATTTTGTTCTCAGAAATGTCTTATTTCTCCTATAGCATTCAGTGTAACAGCCTGATCCATAGTTTGTCCACCCTTCACAGTAGTAGTGTTACACGCTACCTACATGCGTGCCCTGGCAAGAAAAATGAAATCAACCTCTGACAGCCCTAACCACCTCAGAGATACACCAGATATCAACCACTGTCTTCAGACCCAGCCCATCTTTATCTTCACTGATATTCTTGATGAATTATCATGTATGAACTCATATTGATACTCCTCTCATCTTGGTTGGCTGGAGTTTTTTTTTTTCTTCTCTCGCTCTCTCTTTTAACTTTCCCATGGTTATGGTTGGCTGGTTTTTGTGGCTATTGACTATTGTTTTTACATGATGAGGGGGCCAATTCTACTTTTAGTCGTCTCTTACGACATACATGATAGGTTATGATGCAGGGTGCAGTATTATCACATTACTGTTCTCTCTTCCTGTGAGGAACCCGTTAACACAGTTACACACGGGCGGTGTGGGTAGTTATCCACTATATTATTAATATTATTATGAAAATTAAAATTAATAATGGCAACAACATTGTATACAACTATACACATATAATTTATAATTTTATTCAAGTATAAAGAATATGTCAGTGACATCACTGCATCACATCAGTAGTCACAACTCGATTCAGACTGTCGACTCCATCCAAATCAACGATCAACAACTTATAATTTCTGTCTTTTTTTCCTCTTAGACTTTTTTTTTTAGTTTGTGATATGAAGTTCAGTTTATTAGTTGGGTTTGTTAACTGACAAAAATTAACCATGGAACAGTCACAAACCGGGGAAAGCGAAGCAGGCATCAGTTCTCACACTAGTGCATCTGTGGTAACTAACGATTCAGTGTGTCTTAAAAGTTTTTATCTACGTCATAGTGTAGTAGCTTGGTCTCTGTCCGCAGAAAATCTAACCGCCTGCCAAAGCGCAAATTCAAAATCTCCAGCGACGATCCCCAGGAATATCTGTAAAAATTGCGCTAGAGCAGTCGGAAAAAAAAGAACCAACGACATTCAAAGCTCAGTTAGAAAGAGAAGGTTAACCAGAGAAGTGGATAGAGGCGGTGATATATTCAGCATTGAACCTAAAGGGTTTGGAATGCTGAAGAAAAGGCAGAAGAAGAACTATTATACCGCAGCTGACTATAGAGTCTTTATTAGGCTGCGATTGTAAACGGGGGTGGGTGGTGATGTTCAGGGGGTACGCAGTACCGGTACCTTTTTTAAGCATCAATTTTTGACAGTGCTACTGTAATAGGCACTTCTCATGGAATATTCGCATTTTAAAAAGTCGTTTAAGGCATGAGGTCTTAGGTGATGGCAAGGGACATGGGCTGAACAGATATGGCTCATGGATGGCACGGGCGTTTATCACTACGTTTGTATTGCTGACACAATCGCGCATGGCGAGGAAGGTCTCACAGTGTCGTCTAGCAAAATAGCCTTGCATAGAGTGATTGTCACTTTGGACCGAGTTGAGTTGAGTCAAGAATTGATATCACAGCACTCTGAGCATTCCTATGCGTGCTCCGTCCTTATTTTCAGCAGCCAGTGCAGAGTTCCAATATTGATGGTACCGGTCACAATCTGGTTATATGTCCGTCTCGCCTTTCCTCTGAGTGTAGTGAGCCGGCCAGACCCTTTGGTCTACTTTCGACCGAGGATGTTGGGAATAAATAGCAGCTCAAGAGTTGATCAATGGAAACTCCTACCCAGGTGATAGGTCTGTAGTGAGAAGAAGAAAGGGGGGAGTTTATTGCGAATGTGAATGAGCACTGTGTAAAAACAGAGAGCCTCGCATACAACCTAACTACACCTAGTATGAGAATGGGGGTGGGGACAGTAACTGCAGTTTTCCGAAGGCTTGAAAGCAGCACAGCCCGACATGCTGTAATGGTAACATCCTCGCAGATCTTGCTTTAGAATATTTAACCCGGTGACCTGTGTGCAGAGTGGCTTGCATCACTTGAAAAATCTCAAATCTGGGGGAATATCGTGGATTTTCTGTGCATGAATTCATATCAGATCTGCTGCCGCGGTGCCTCTGTGCGTTGAGCTTCTTTATGATAAAGCGGACGTGGTAAAGGCTGTCTGAGATCAAGTAAACGGTGCAGGAAAACAAAGAGGGAATCCGTACCTGAAATTCTAATTCAACAAGGATTTGCCCAAAGGATCTGGGAGATATACAACACTGAAGGAGAAACAAAGGTGGACTTTTATTCAGGTTGAACTGGCACTATTAGCATGTAAACTCTTCGTTAGTTACTGACCAAAGGGAAGGAGCACGTGTGGCAGTGTCCTGAGTGCAACGCTGTCATTAATTAATTCCTTTATTCATTAAAAGACACTTTGTGACGAATACCCGCACCTTTTTGTCTTTAAAGAAAAACCTTTTATTATATGGATGCAACTGACCGCCAAAGGTGGAGAGAGCTGATCTGTCAACAGAAACTTGTGACCCAATGACAAGTAGTGTTACGGGATAAGGATGGTGATGATTATATCGATAAATCAGAAGGTTTGATTCTTTCTTTGTTTTCAGGGCAGAACTCAACAAAGTACAATTCACGAAGAATTAGAGGAAATGGCTGCACCAAACAGTAATGAGTATGTATTTCAGTATAACAAGTAACTTAGAGAAAATGATCCATTTCACGCCATGGCCACATCAGACACACAATTATTTTATGTTGTGTTATTTTATATTATAGTGTATCGTGTGGTGTTATCATAGTCGACGTCATTGCACATAAAACACTCCAATTTTGTTGCTGCCAACATTCAGTCCGCCAGTTTGAACATGTCAACATTCAGCCAGCATCTCACAATATTCAGTCTGCCAGTGTCAGCATTCATTTTGCCACTCCCAACATTCAGTCTGCCAGTGTCATCATTCAGTTTACCACTCCCAACGCTGAGTTAGCCACTCACAGTATTTAGTTAGTCACTCCCAATATTAATTAAGCTACTCCCAGCGTTCAACCAGTCACTCCCAACATTCAGTCAGCCAGTGTCAGCATTCAGTAAGTAACGCCCGGGTATTCGGTTTGCAACTCCCAACGTTCAGTTATCCGCTTCTAATGTTTAGTTAGCCATTCCCAACGTTCAGTTAGCCACTCCCAACGTTCAGTTATCCGCTTCTAATATTTAGCCGTTCCCAATGTTCAGTTAGCCACTCCCAACGTTCAGATGGCCGCTTTAAATGTTCAGTTAGCCACTCCCATTGTTCAGTAAGCCACTCCCAACGTTCAGCTAGATACTCCCAACGTTCAGTTAGCCGTCCCAAATTTTCAGTTAGCCGCTCCCAATGTTCAGTTAGCCACTCCCAACGTTCAGTTAGCCACTCCTAATGTTCAGTAAGCCACTCCCAACGTTCAGTTAGCCACTCCTAATGTTCAGTAAGCC